ACACTGAGGGTTGCGATCCGTTGCCGGACACAAAAAAAAAAAAAAAAGACAAAAAAAAAAAAAAAAGAAAGAAAGAAAGAAAGAAAACAAAAACAAAAAAAATGAAGTCCTGAGCCCCTCCTCTCATTGCACCAAGAGCAGTGGCTGGCTAACTTATTCTACCCACGCACCCACACCTGCCCCAACACAGGGAAGATTTCTTTTCTGGGGAAAATGACCAGCCAACGGCAGAAGCATACAGACACTGAGAGCCAGGGTGCCCCACGCGAAGCAACCAGAAACCTGCCAGATCACGCCACCGAAGCATGACCATGGAGGAGCCCCACCCAGGCGCACACAGCACTCAGGGACCACCAGCATCTGAGAAAGCCTCTGCCATGAAAAACACAACCCAGAAAACCAGCCGGGGATAAAAGAAACTCAAAGGAGAGACGGAAATTACAGAGCAGAAGAAAACAAGCCTACACTATCCCTGTCCTCAGAGGTAAGACACATCCACGAAACACGAGGAGGAGGATGTGGATAGCACCACCCGGAAAACAAAAATGAGCCCTTTAAACTTAAAAATGTGACGTCAAAATTAAAAGTTCCCTAGGAGGTGTGGCAGATTGCGATTCCTACTTCTTAACCCCTTCCTGTGACAGGATTACAGACCTCCCCCTTTAATACGTGGCTTTACAGTGTTTCCACTGAGATCTGTTCTCCTGCCCCGTTGCTGGTGTTCACAGAGCAGGTACTTTACACATACCTGTGTGCGATGATGGCCCTCCCATGTCTCTGCCGTCAGACATGAGAACAGTGTGCCCTGGGGAGACCTCCAAGACCGAGGGGCATGGAGAAGACTCGCAAACTCTGCCCACCTCAGACCCATGAGCAGAACACAAAACAAAGCTCACAGTGTGTCAGTGGAATTCTGGAGTTGTTTGCTAGAGCATCATGCCAGCAAATACTGTCTAATATAGAGGACTGGAAACAAAGTGCAGAAAGCTAAGACAGAAAACAGTTAAGAAAACATGAGAAAACTGGAGAATCAATTCTGTAGGTCCAACATCCAATGAATACAATTTTGAGGAAGAGAGAGAAAGCAAACACACGCACACACATGCACACGCACTTCCCAGAGATGAGGGGAACGAGGCTCCAGACTGAAAGGGCCTACATAGGACCATGAAAGGAAACAGACCCTCACCACAGCATATTACAGTGACATTTCTGAACACTGGCAAGAGAAGGGAGATCTTAAAAGAGAAAAAAAACAGGGCACCTAGGAAGCTGCAGGAGGCCACGTGGCTCAGGGCACTGCATAGTGTGGCACTGGGAGCTAGAAGGCAATGGCAGGAGGCTGTGAAAATCCCGAAGGAAGGTTATTTCCCACCTAGAATCTTTACCCAACCAAAGCATCATTCAGGCGTGGAGGTAGAATAAAGATATTTTCAGATCTTTATTTTTAAATTTTTATCGCCCCCAATTTTCACATTATTAAAGTCCCCAAAATGTTATCCTCTGAACCCTTTCAGAGGAAGCTGCTAGATGATACATTCCACACAAAAAAGGGAGTGAAGTGAGAAATACAAAAACAGGGCCCAGGAAACGGGATCCTGCAGACAGGAGACAGGGAGGTGGGGAGAGGCCGGCCTCCAGCAAGGGGCTCCTGGAAAACCTGCTGGGTTTGGCTGTCTGTGAAAGGAGTGTCACGGGTGTGCTGGAAAGCTTGGGAAAGAATTAATAATCAGTTCTAGAAAATGGAGAAGAAAGAGGAAGAGGCAGAGGAGAAGGAGGGGACATAATCATTACCTCCGGGTAAAACGAAAAGCTGTACAGGAAAGGAAATCTCATCATACTATGGCCGGTGTCTCAGCTGCAGTAGATAGCAGTCACTGTGGAGCCAGCATTGGATGCTGATCTAACTAAAAAACATGAAGTATGATGCAGCGGGTAAAACGAAAAGCTGTACAGGAAAGGAAATCTCATCATACTATGGCCGGTGTCTCAGCTGCAGTAGATACCAGTCACTGTGGAGCCAGCATTGGATGCTGATCTAACTAAAAAACATGAAGTATGATGCAGCCTTAGCAGTCGGGTGGGGAAAGGGGAGTGTGTGTGGTGGGACGTAAGGGTCCCTAACCCTAACCCTAACCCTAATCCTTAGTCTCCACGGTAGAAATGGACCGAATCTAAAATTGAGAAATCAAGCAGCAGCAGCCTAAGTGGCAAGCAGGCTCTTTTGTCACACATGCAGTAGGACACCTACCAGACTTGAAAGCGGTGGGCTTTGGGCATGCTGCTCTAAACTACATCCATGTAAATTTTAATAAAAGTTTCATGAGATTAAAACATGAAGATCAAGTAATTAATAAGTGATCTGGCAGACATAGGAGAACAGGCGTGGAACCTTTAACCCATAAAGAATCCATGTTCTTACCAAACTACTGCAGTGTTCACATAAGTTGGCCGTGCTTTAGGACACAGACAAAGCAGACCTCCCAAAGCACAACAGAACCCCACACAGCACAGTTCTGCAGCTACAAAGCAAAATGATTAGAAACCAATAACAAAAGGATAACAAAACACTCCTATTGATGTGGACATTCCAAAACACCCTTCTAGTTTTTTTTTTCTTTTTTTTTTGAGGCTGGCCAGTACAGGGATCTGAACCCCTGGCCCAGCCCTCTAATCAACTCCTGAGTGAAAAAGAAAATCAAGGCAAACTCCAGTGTATTCACAGAAATGAGCGAGAGCAGGACACATCAAACCTGTGAGGGGTGGTCAAAGCCATCCTCTGAAGACAATCTGAAGCTTTAAATGCATCATTAGAAAAAAGCCCCAAAACGATGACCACGTAAATCACTGGAGAAGCTAGAAAAAGAACAGAAATTTACCAAAAGCTTAAAGATGAAATTATGAAAGACTTACAAATAAATCAAGATGAAAAAATGGTGGACCACGATCACAAACATCTACAGATAGATTCTCTGGAGGACCAGCAGGACAGGAGCAGCCTTTCCTCACATACAGCCCCACACACCCCTCTTCCCTGCTTTTCCCAACTTTTTCATGTTTAGTGTCCATTTAGTTTCCTAAGAACTGCAGGTCCACAGACTTTATCCACTTTTCTACTCAGTTTTAAAAAGTTTTTTCATTTCTTTTAAGCATCTTCTCATGGATTCTGGTTGGCGAATATTTGAATGTTATAAAGATTACAAGTATTTTCTTCCAGACTGTCATTTAACATTTTTGTGTCTTTGATTGCATCACATTTTAAAAACTCTGCAGTCAGATTTGTCAGGCTTTTCCTCCTTGAAACCTTTTGTGTTCAGCCTAAGAAAGGCATCTCTCACTCCGAGATTCTAAATATTACTCTTACATTTTCTCCCAGTGCTTCTGTGGTTTGGGATTCACATTTAGTGTGTGTGCATGTGTTTTGTGAGAGGCAGGAGCAGTACTCTACCACTTTCTAAATGGATAGCCAATCACCCCACTACCACTTATTGAAAAATCTTTCAGATCTTCATACCGGCCAGCTGCCAGGGAGGGAGAAAGGGAGGGAGGCAGGAGGGGAGGAAGGAAGGAAGATATATTTCCCCACTGCTCTGAAATGCCATGCTGAGCATAAATTAAATCCCCACATTTATCAAGGGTCGATTTCCAAACTATCTGTCCTACATTGTGGATGTGTTTGCCACCTTCTGTCCCAAAACCACACAAAGACTTGCTCTTATTTTGCAAAATTGTTACATGGTTTCTTTTCCAAGTAAAATATAAAAACATCTTTATTTTTTCAAATTATATTTTTATGAGAATATTAGAAATATATGGTTTACCTTTGCATGTTTTTGAACTCTGAATAAACAAAGCCACATGGCATGGATAATTCTGTCATTTGTTTCTTTCACTTAAGAATATGTCCATCAGGCTGGCCGGTTAGCTCAGTTGGTTACAGCACAGCCTTGTAACACAAACATCACAGGTTCAGATTGCTGTCCCGGCCAGCCACGCCCCCCTCAAAAAAAGAATATGTCTAGCAGGTGTGCACTTGCTGTTGGGTGTAGTGGGCATCCATGCAATCAAATTCCAAAACCCAGAGTGCATTTGCTGAGTTTGACAGCAAAACACTATGTGAACCGATGTGAGGTTGTGGACTGGAACATTCTTGTGTTTCACTCCACACACATTCACGTGTCTATGGCTGGATTTGGTTGTTTTAATCTGCTCTGATGAGGTCTGTCTTTTGACTGGAACATTTAGTGGAGTTTCATTTACTGGATTAACTGACGTATTGGTGGTCACCACTGCTGCCACAGCTGTGCTTCCTGGCTGGCCACCTTTGT